GAGACAGTAAAACCAGAAGTAGCAGAAGTAGAGATCACAGAAACAGAAGTAGCAGAAGTGAGAGAATCAGACACAGAGATAAGTGTAGAAGATTGAGAAGTAGCAGAAGAGGCAAGAGAAGACACAGAAGACTCAGTCACACATGACACAGACAATTTCTTCATTATCATGTTCTTCAAGTTCTCAATCAATGATTTCACATCAGGTTCACTATCATTGACAGACACAGATCTGTCAATACATGAAGATTCTATATAAATAAAAACAATATATCAGCATCTGCATCCATGCAAAATTATGTTAGAAAACACAATCAGAAACTCACTGAGAAGAGAAACAGTCAAGAACATATGAGAAGATGAAGAGAGTATACAAGAAGATGAAGAAGATGTATTATCATTCATAATAATACATTGTTCTGATGATTGTTAGAAGATAAACAAGTTCTGATCACATTTCATAATGTATTACACTTACTGCTAACAAACTGTAGAATAGTTGAAGGTTGTATTGATAGATCTATCTACAGGAACATATTATAGTGGTGGGTCATGTGATCTAGTGGGATTGCTAACCGCAACAGCTGTAAGAGCCAACACCCCCTCTCAAGATAACAAGAATTACATACAAAAACACTCAAACCACCAAGATAGTCTGTCAAAACCAAATACAAATGTAAAATTAAACATTCCCAACTTTTATGCCTGTAAGACCTAGCAAAACCATGAATCGCGCAAATGTCACATTGTCTAGAGGTTTAGTGAGTTCATCCACCGTCATCTGAGTGATGGGAATGTATTCTAAATCAATGACCCTCTGATTCAACTGCCAATGTGAGAAATGAAAACACATGTCAATGTGTTTACTTCAGACTGTAATGGCTGCTACCTTTGTGAGATCTATGACACTCTTATTATCAGCGAGAATCTGTATTAGAGATGTAGTGATGAAGCCAAGCTCAATCATGAGGTTCTGAATCCATGTTGCCTCGCAGACTGCCTCACTAAGAGCCACATATTCAGCCTCATTGAAACTTAGAGATACACAAGGTTGCTTCACTGAATGCCATGAAATTGAGCCATCTGCGAGCTTAAAAATGTAGCTGGATGTTGATTTTCTATCATCATTCAAGGGACCGGCTCAATCAGAATCTGAGTAGCTGAAGAATAGGTAGGAATCATCAGGGAAATCAGGGGTAATGAAAAGATCAGTAGGAATGAACCTCTCATACAGGCCGCATTCATAGAAAATGCCCAGATCCATGATTCCTTTCAAATAATGTATGATGTGTAATAGGGTCTTCCAACATTGAGATATTGAATCAATATTCTGTTGAGTGAGTAGTGAGACAGCATGAGTGATATCAGAATGTGTTTTGACTGTGAGATATTACAAGCAATTCACATCATGTTAATATTACTGAATTGTGAAACCAGCCTCTTTCTCAGATATAGGGAAATTGTCAATGTGAAATTCATTCTTCATAGATATTCTGACAACAGCTGCATTATCAAGATAGAAATCTTCAACAAGGCACTTGATATATTGACAATGTGTCAAATCAATTCTCTTGTCTGAACAATTGATCTTCATACTCAAATACTTGGTTGGCTGATGTAGATTCTTGACTTTCAATTTCTCACTGAGCATACTCACTAGCCAATCAGCATTCTCAGGAGCTTTGAATATGATGTTGAGATCATCAATGTAGATTATCATATAGAGGTGATGTCTGAATGTATAATATCAGAGTGCTGGATCATGGGTGCTGACTGTAAATTCAAGATCACTCAACAGAGCTGTTAAGTAATTATATCAGATCTTCACTGCAGGGTTCAGGCTGTATAAACTACTCTCAACCGCGCAGACAAGCATTTTCAGCGAACCTGTCTCAAATCTGATGAGTTGTCTCATATAGACCTTCTTAGTGAGATGCTCATGAAGATATGTCATCACTATATTCACTTAACAGAGTGTCCAACTGCGTAGTACTGCTATTATAAAAAGAATATGATTAACAGTATCAGTGATGACAGAAGTGTAGATCTCTTCTCTAGAACTCTTCTTAAGTCAGTTACTACAAATCACTCAACACAATTTTCTAAGAATATCATCAGAATTGGCATTCAGGTCTGTGAGCCTATCTTTCTCAAGAAACACTCAACAGCCTGGAGCAATCAGTTCACCTCTCAAGATATCAGATCTAGGGATCAAACTCCATGTATTGCATCTCTCCAGGTCAGTAATCTCATGTTGCATGGACTTCTTCCAATAATCTCCTATCCCCCCTGGCTGAGATGTGGCATTCTTGTAGAACTTCGGGAGGTTGCCTGTAATGGGGCTTGAAGTGTAAGTAGCCAGCAATTTCGCGGGCCGCAACCATGTAGAATTTGAATCATCAATGTCAGGAGCATCTTCATCATCAACCAGATGAATATCAGGTTCCAGTTCACTGGCATTATTAATGAGTGCCACAGATGTGACAACTGGTTTTTCAGTGATCAGAAACCTCACATCACTACTGACAATAATCTTGTCAGATTCAGGATGTCATAGGCGATATATCAATGTGCCACTGAATCCAATGATACAATAGGAATTGGCATGTGAAGAAAGCTTATCCGCGGGCTGCTGGGATTCATGTAAGTGAACAAAAACCTCTGCACTCAATTGATGAAAATGCCTTACATTCAGCGGGGTATTTGTAAGTGCACATTAAAGAATCTTATATGGACTTGGAATCACAGAGATCTCTGCAGTAGAGGGCCAAAATTTTGAGTTGTAAAGAACTGTAGATATGAGAGTATTATTGATTATTACAATCACTGTCTCTAGAACATCTGCCCAGAACTTCTTAGAAAGATTATCTTTCAAAAGAGCAGCTCTAACTCATCTCATGATAGTGTGGATTTCACATTCAGAAACACCATCCTGATGTGATGAATGTGATGCTGTTGATTCCCATTTAATATCATATGAATTCATAACTGTGTGCATACATGTGGATTGGAAAACACCATCAATATCAGTCTGTAGAAAAGCAGGGGCTGTATACCCGAGATTACCCATGAATCTGAGTCACAACTCAAAGTATTGAACAGCTTCATCCTTGAACTTCAAAAAATATACCCAACAGTAGCGAGTTGCATACAGGTGATAAGCATCCAGTATTTGGTCCTCTGGCGGGACTCTAAGAGATGGTCAGAGAGATCTTCCAATGTACATCTGCCACCTGCAAGATCAATATGGACCTTCTCAATGAGTCGGATAGATCTAGGCATCAGTGTTTTCAAATAATCTCATGTCATACCAGCCTTGACACATTCCTTGCAAAAGAACTTAGTCTTAGAACCCTTAATTATGACTCCAGTATGAGAATCCTTGGCCATAGCAATTATAGCATCAGCATGAATGTGACTGAGGTTGTAATGCCAATTCAAAAGAGTCTTTGATATCTTTGATGTCTGTGTCTTGAGACCTGTATTCATGTCCGCAGAATCAACATTATTAACAGTAGTGACAGCAGCCACAGAAAGATCAACTTTTCAATCAAAATTGTACTCATGAGGCATCATCGCAATATACTTGACTGCTCTGTTCAGATGATTGGAATCCTCATTGAACTTCTGTTTGTTGATCTTATATATGTTGTTCTGAGCGGTTCAGACTGCATGAAAAATAACACTGTTTAAGACTCTGCAAATGAAAAAAGAGGGAATAGTGAAAGACAATGTAAATTGAAATCCCTGATCTTCAAGCTTTGCAAATGAGAGCAGATTAACTGTAATATTAGAAATATAGTGAACATTCTGCAAGTTAATATCATCACTCTCAATCTTCAAGGTGACAGTCTTAATCTTCTTAACAAACTCAGTTCCCCCAGTAGCAGAATTGACAGAGATGTTATCATTAAAAGGTTTGATATTTGAGAAAGAATGAAGCTCACCTGTCATATTCAGGCTTGCACATGTGTTCAAATACCAAGATCTAGAGAATGATTTTTCAGTGACTGTGAAAGAGAAATAGAACTCAATCTTTATAATTGCTGCATTTACTGCTGATTGAGAACTCATCAAGTCATTCTTCTTCTCTTTCTTCTTATCATTCTTCTTGTCATTCTTCTTTCTCTTTTTATCAGAGTGTAAGATGAAATATCTGTCAACAGTATGTCTATATCTTCTGCAGTGAGTGTACTTTCATACAGATGTGCTTTTATCCTCATCTTTGTTCTTATCTTTGTTCTTATCTTTGTCCTTTTTTGCAGTCACAGAATCAGCCTGAGGCTGCTTTTTTCACTCAGTGATAATCTTCTTGAATGTATGATTGATCAGTTGCTTCATCAAATCATTGATATCAATGTTAACAATGAGTCCCTGGCCAGTGGAGAAAAACTCATTCAAACATGTCTTGATAAACAGTCTTTGGTAATCTTGTAGGTTATTGAGGAAAAGATCATGATATACATTCTCAGTGCTCTGACAGAGCTCCTTGTGACAGGTAACAAGATAGCAGAAATATCTCTGAAAAGTAAGATAATCATTCTCCTTGACTTGTAATTTTATCAATTCCTTGAAGATATTAACTCATTCTTCAGCCAGTGATATTGCATATTCCACATTGATCTTGTCTCACAGGGCTGCAGCATTGTCAGCTTCCAAGGTTTCAATAGTAGTTTGAATGTTTTCAATAAGACTTAATAGCATGTGTCTATATAGAGACTTAGAACAGATCCTTCACTTCTCAGAGTTAATATAATGTGTAAAAGAGGATTCTCATTGAGTTCTCAATAGAATGTCAGTTTCATCAATAACTTCTGCATCAGTCAACATATCAACATGTCAGACATCATAATTAGAGTCATTAAATGTGATCACTGATTTGATGTCTAGTGCATATTTGACTTCCTTCTGATATTCTCATAACTCATTTCTTGTAGTGTCTCTTTGTGCAGAGACAGATGTAGTGAGATGTTGAGCAGTTTCAGCTGCAGCCATTTGATTTCATAGCATCATCTGCATAAGATTCATAAGATTGCCTGCGGTGCAGTAGATAGGTTGATTCAGATCATCATTAAAAGTCAGCATTCCAGAGATGGGGAATGGTGAAGGATTCAATGAGTTGAAATGAATAGATTTCACAGATGAATGTTGACTCTGCTTTTCTTTGTCCTGAAGTTCCTCTGTTGTCTCATCATCATCAAATTTCATACTCTGGCGAAAACTGACCTCAGCCTCATCTTGCAAGTCAGGAGCTTTCTCATAATAAGTGATCATTCTATCAATGAGTTGTCTAGTGAAGTGTGTGATCCTGGGCCTTGAGCTGGACTCTGAAGTAACAGGTGTATCACTCATATCAAGGTGGCTCTGCTTCTTCTAGATGTGTAAAAAAAAAAAAAAATAAAAAGTGATATTCTTCACAATGAAGAATGCACTTTCTCAAAAATATAAAGTATATGAATTCACTGACTGACAGATTCAGGGAAAATGAAATATCTCTAATAAAGAGTAAGAGTCTTTTCAAAAAGAGTGAACTATCTGTGTCAAAAATATGTTGATACAACATTCTAAAAAGAAAAATGTGCCATTCAGACTATAACCTGTAGAATAGTTGAAGGTTGTATTGATAGATCTATCTACAGGAACATATTATAGTGGTGGGTCATGTGATCTAGTGAGATCGCTAACCGCAACGGCCGTAAGGGCCAACACAAACTGCTCAGTATGAGCACTATGATGACACTTGTTATAGAAATAGAGAGTCATCACCAGAAATGCATACAATGTGATAGATGAATAGATGAAAAGAGTTGAATAGAAGAAGAAGTAGAAATCTTGAATGAGATGATAGCATTCAATGATAATAATAATGAAGATGATGATTGAAGAATGAGAAAAGTTAGTGAATGAGTGATGTAATATAATAAAAGTTTCTTTATAAGAGTATACATGAAATGCTAGCTGAATCAGAGATAGATCACATAATTGTGAAACACTAGTGACAAGCTAATCCGCATGAAGCTAGAATATATAACATGGTCACATGAGTGTGACTGAATCTGATGAGAGAGGATGTGATTTGGAAGAATGTACAACTGTCAGATAATAACGCGGCTGCTTTCAAACTACTAGTGTATGAATGTAAAGAGGGCTCTAGTGGCAACTAATTAATTTCACGTACGAGATTCAATATATAAGAAGCCGGCGTACGCCTGTAATCGTACGCTGGCTTAAGCAACCTTTGAATCACATCACTAAGTTCAAGTCAGTATGAAAACTATTAAAACACTCTTAGAAACTCTTAAATTGAAGAGTATAGACTAATCAAATTTTAAATACAGAAGAATTAAATTATATTCAATATTACTAATTATTTATTCTCTCTTAATAAAATCACAGTCACATCTTCTTCTCTCTTCTTAAATGAAACATAATCCGCGAAAAGTGAGTATCACATCAGATCATAATAATTAACACAGTCTCAGTACACAGAGCTATATACACATAGTATATACTGAACTGAGAGACTGTGTGAATTGCAAATCAGCACCAGCATCTCAGAGAGAGTCATGTGATATAAGAAAGCTGTAACTCTCAGTCACATATGCAGAGAGTGAATTATTACAGTAAGTGTATATATATTGCATGAAAGTAATGCTTTTTAATAATACTCAGTCTCTGATATTATGAAAATAGAGTCTCTCTGTGAGATCTGTTTTTATCAGAAGTCAGAGAATCTTATATTTTTCAAGATCATCTTCACTTATCTTATCTGTGAAATTGATGAGAAGAATCATTGATTTCAGCATTCTGTTCTTGATATTATTCAAGTGACAGCAGAGTTCATTCTGATCACACTTTTTAAGTGTATATTTTCTAAATATTTACATTTATACAGATATATACTGATTATTTATTAAATAATATTAAGATAATGACTTATCATGATCATATTACTCTCACTATAAGAGATACACAGTTAATAATAAATATTACAAAGACTCTGAGAAGTAAGTATTTTAGAGATACTACAGCTCTGCAATCTTAATTTTTTTTATTTTTAATTTTTTTAATTTTTTATTTTTAATTTTTTTATTCATTCTGATTTTTTCTTGTTTTTTTTTTTTTTATTTTTTGTTTTTTTTTTGTATTTTATATTTTTTTTATAATTAAAATTATATGAATTATAATCTGTGTTTAGAAAAGTAATGATATTTGATAACACTCTCTATTGAATTTTCAACAAATGAGTACTATATTATGATATTATATAAGTGAGAAGTGATTTCATAGTCTTATTTAATATCATTCTTAATAATGAGATCAGAATGAAAATGTGACTAAGAATTTAAATATATTCTTTATCTGAGACTAGATTTTTATTTGAAAAGTGAATCTGAGATCTTTAATATTTGAAATAACATGATTTGAAATCAATGTAATGAACACAAACTATGATCAGAAGTAATGCTTTTAGATAATATAATAACTGTAAAGTTTGATTCTGATCTCAGACACGGTCACACGGTCAGTCTAATTAAGCATGACTGAGAACATTCAGATATACACTTACAAGTATCTGAATTATCAGATTATGAAAGAATCTAAGAAAGAATTAGAATACAAGAAAGTGCAATATCAGATAAAGTATATAATACAACTGTTTAAATAATAAGAGATGAATCTCATAGACATATTATTATAAACATCAAATGAAAATCAATGAATAATCACTGCTATTAATTATACTACTGACTGATCAGTTATAAAAGCAGTTTCAGACATAACAGAGAAGATAATAATGAAGTTTCTATATAATAAGATCTATATTAACTATGAAATACTACATGAGATTCTAACTGATAATAGTATGAATCTTGTAGAAGAAGCAGTGAGGCATTTCATGAGCCAGTTACAGATAAGACATTGTAGAACAATGTCATATCATTCACAAATGAACAGAAAGATGAAATACTTGAATAAAATCTTAGATAATATACTGATAAAATATCTAGTGAGTAAGTCTATAAGACTATAAGATGAATATCTCAGACAGGCACTATTAATCACATGAATTTAACAGTATATAGTCTTCAAGCATTCATCATTCTATCTGTTGTATGAATTGCATCCGCGCATTTCAGAGAATGCTTCAGAAAAGAAGAGAGAGAGAACAGCAGTTACAGATACAATAGTCATAGACACAGCAGAAACAGCAGTTACAGACACAGTAGTAGCAGTTGCAGACACAACAGTCACAGACACAGAATCAAGATTGAAAGAGATCAGTCACACACATGCAAAAGCTAACAAGTTACTCCTGAATTAAGTAATTCAATTAAAAAGAATACAAGACTCACTAGTTAAGAAATTAAGTCTCAAGATAAAAATATAAGTTCTTGTATGTAATGAGAGTTCTGAGAAGTTTCAATCTAGATAATTTAAGTCATATAAAATACTCAAATCATATTCTCTGAGAATATACACATTGAAAGAATCAGAGAGACAGATCTTACACAACTTAATAAATAATTCATAACTTATAAAAGTAAAGATACAAGATCTGAGTGAATTATAATTATTTACAGTACTATCATCAGCATTGAAAAAGAAGAGACTTACAATTAAAAAGTCTCATAAGATAAGAGAAATCATAGATACTTACAAATCAGATAATCTCACTTATTCTGATCTTTTCATAATTATAAGAAAAGAATGAGAAGTAATGAAGAAATCAAATAAATATTATACTTTAATAAGTAATAAGACTATAGCTGATTATATGATAATGCACTGCAGACAGCAGATATAATATAGTAAAGAGCAGTCTCAAAGTAGCAGACTTGTATATGAGTCAGATTGCAGAAGAAAAAGAAATTCAGAGTTGAATTTAACTATTTATATCAGTTCAATTGCAGAGATCACAGAGAATAAACTATCTAAAATATTCACAGATATATAAGATTAAGTCATCTCAACCTCTAAGAACACTCAGAGATCAGATGAGATTAGTTTTAATAAGCTATTCACTATAGTGATCTGAGCAGGTGAAGAGAGACAGTATAATACATAAGACAGAATTACAAAAGATGAAAGCTGCTGAATCTAGTTATTAAACACTGTATTATATAGAGATTGTATAAGAGTAGTGACTAATAGATAAAGAAAAAGTGTAAGAAAAGAAAAGAGATAATGAATTAATCATCAACTGTAAGAGTCAGCTATAAAAGATAAATATTATTATATACACTTCATTCATTTTCATATATCACACATTTAATCTATTTTCAATGCCATATCACTCAAAAAAACATCAAAAACAAAGAAAATCTCAAAACTTGAGATTTATAAGAGATTTGAGAGTTACAAGCTGCTCTTATAATAATATTATACATATCTCTGATTTCTCTATCACTCTGTATATGACATTAATATTATTTATCACAAGATTGACTGAAATATCAATATAGAAATGTATATGTGTATGTGTAGAAAAATTGAAGAAGAGTATGAAACTCACAGAATCAGAAGTCAGAGCAGAGAGAGTAGAGATAGAAGAAACAGAAGAAGAAGAAGATACAGAATCAGATAAATAATGACAGAAGTTATCTGAGACTGAACATTTATAACTCAGTGTGTACACAATCTTCTCTACAGAGAAGAAAGAGAAAGTGATAGAAGAAGTTTAAGAGTAAGAGAGAGTAGTTTTAGCAGTATTATTATCTTCAATTAAAATGATCTCTGATGCTGAAGTAACTAAGAACTATTATTAGTGTATAAAAACTGTAAAATCAGAGATAAGAACAGTTATTAAATAAACATCTACTGATCTTAGAGTTGTACATATAATTACAATATATACAAGACTTCTCAGAAAGAGAGAGAAAAACACAGAAGAATACAGAAAGTAGAATACAGTATACAAACAGCTTATTCTTATAATAATATCTCAGATAAGATGTATGAGTCTTATATCTGTGAGTGTAAAAAAGTATAATATTCATATTTTCATTTCTGAAAACACAGATATCTTTTATCTGCATCACAAAGTCAGACAATAAATATTAGAGAATAGATTAATACAGATCTATCATCTTAAAGAAATTTATCAGAGCAGATGTACTTATAATATTAAATTTAACAGTTATGAAAAGTTTCTTAATATCTGTGAATACTATAACTTTATACATAGTAAAACTCATAACAATTTTCTCTAAGAACAGAAAAATCAGTGTTAGAAAGAAAAGATGAAAAGAGAAAAGACTTATAATCTTAACACTGTTAAGAGAGAAAGTAATTCTCTGATATAAATAAATAATTATCTCATCATGAATATTTAAAATGAATATAATAATCAGTATCTGTGATCAAGCTTCAGATAGTTATATCATATACAGT